GACAGTGGGTTAATGACCAACTTAAATTCAGACCCTTGCAAAGCCAGAGGAAGTTCTGGTCGTGCAAGACTGTTCCGGGCCCTCTTTCAGTCTTCCGGGGGGGGGGGGTCAGAATCGAAAAGATCACACCCAAAAGGAAATAGTTGAATTTTTCTGGGTTTGAATCCTCTAGGAAATCAAGTAAGGGACAGTGGAGGTTTACGGAAGGGAAAAGAGTGAGAGACAAAGCCTGGGAAGTCAATTTCGGGGGTGAGGGTGGGAGGAACTCCCCCACTTCTGACCTGTGATTGAACTATTCGGGTGCACTGAACCCTGTGGCCTCCAGGGGGCGCTTGGGCCCAAGACAAGCCCTAGGTCCAGGTCACCAGGCTGGAAGAATTGTGGCTAAGCAAAGGTGTGGTGTCTTTCAGTGAGGGGAGCAGAAGCAAGACCATCACCATGATGAGTACCAAAGAAATATTGCCTTATGCCTGTGACCAGCACTGGGGTGCCTGCAAACTCACAGCCCGGAGTTCCTAAGTGATTGTAATCCTCGGCCCCTTGGCTTTTGCCTAGAAGTTGAGCTTCAACCTATACTGTCTGCTTGCAAAACCCTCGGGGGCCTAGTCCCTGGAGGTTCTGATAACGCATATAAGCCATCAGACAAACGAATGGTAGACAATGAGTTAGGGAACAGCATTAAAAAAAAAAACAAAAAAAACCAGGGCCATAAACACTTCTGGGTTAAGTGATGGATCCAGTTGCAGCGTGGAAGGAAGGGGCTATGCTGAAAATGAGCATCTTGTATTTGTGCTCCTCAGAGAACTCTGCTAGGCCAGAGGGAGACTGGCCTACATATTAGTAATAGATCTGTTGAAAACTTGATGGTGAGTTTTCTGAGGGGAAGTTTGTGACTTGAGATAAAACCTTCCATCTCCCCACCAGGCTCAGCAGAGCCTGCAGGATGCATAAATAAGGGCTCTGACAGCTGGAAACAGATTGTTGAGGGTATTGCTGATGTGGGGTGACTAATGTCCAGGAGAGAGGACCCCAGAAAGCTTATGTAAGGTTTCAGAGGCTGTGAGGGAAAGAAAAGACAGAGTCTAGGAGTAACACCTTTTAGTGTTCAGTGCTCAGTGGCTAGGCTGGAAATGCCTTGCAATGGGGAAAGGTGGATGTTGGGCCTCAGATTAGGAGCTGTGTCCTTTTTTTGAATTTAGCTTTTCCCACTGACCCATGAGGAAAGCATGATGCTAACAACACCTGCTCTTCTGTAAGTGCAGAGAAGGTGTTGAAGCTGATGCAGAAGCCTACATGTGCCAGGGTTCCCAGAAATCTTTTTCCTTTTTTTGAGTATTTTACTTATTATTTTTATTTTATGTATATGAGCTTATTGCCTGCATGTCATGCAGTGCCCACAGAGGTCAGAAGAAGGAGTCGGATTCCCTGGAACTGGAGTTACAGATGG